TTTTTTGAGATGGAGTCTCACTCTGTCACCCAGGCTGGAGTGCAGTGGCGCGATCTTGGCTCACTGCAAACTCCGCCTCCTGGGTTCATGCTGTTCTCCTGCCTCAGCCTCCCAAGTAGCTGGGACTACAGGCACCTGCCACCACGCCCAGCTAATTTTTTGTATTTTTTAGTAGAGATGGAGTTTCACCGTGTTAGTCAGGATGGTCTTGATCTCCTGACCTTGTGATCTGCCTGCCTCGGCCTCCCAAAGTGCTGGGATTACAGGCGTGAGCTACCGCGCTGGGCTGAGACAAATTTGTTTATCCATGTGTGTATTTTTTTGTGTGTGTGTTTCAAACTGGGGTTTCAAATATATGAAGCAAATACTAACAAAGCTGAATAAACAGAGAGAGAGAGCAATAGAATTATAGTAGGATATTTCAATACCCCACTTTCTGTAATAATAATAAAACAAGACAGTATATTAGTAAGGGAACAGACGACTAGAAGGCAGTAAAAAACAATTATTTCTATTGAAGGTATAGAGAATACTCCTCAACAATATCAGGATACACAGCCTTCTCAATAGCTCATACAACATTCCTTTTTATAGACCACCTGTTAGGTCAAAAACAAAGTCTTAACACATTTTTAAAACTGAAATTTCATAGTTACTTTCTATGACAAAAATGAATTAGAGTATAAGACAATAATATAAATAATTGATAAATTTACGAATGTATAGAAATGATTCAACACACTCTTGAGCATGCACTTGTTCAAATAACTGGGCTGGATGCCGTGGGGCTCAGTCCTTTAGGAGGCTGAGGCGGGTTAATTTAACTCCATTTCAAAAACAATCAAAAAGGAAATAATATTGTGAGGATGTCTATACCGCTCAATTTAATCTATAGATTTAATGCAATTTTTTCAAATTTCTCACTGCATTTTTGAAGAAATAAAAACAGCAAATCCAAAAGAACATGGAGTCTAAAGAGGCAATAAAGTACCCAACAATCGTCAAAAAAAAAAAAAAGTTGGAGGCATTACAATTTCTGATTTCAAAACACATCAAAAAGCTACAGAATTAAAACAATTTGGTATGAGTATAAAAGTGAAAAAGTAGACTAACAAAACAGAATGCAGCACATATATCATCGTTCACATAATTATAGCAGCACTGCTACTGAAAGCCAACAGATAAAAGCAATGCAAATTTCTGTCATCAAATCAGTAGATATAAAAATACTGGCATATCACTCAATTTTCAAAAAGCAGAAAATACTCTAACAACTATTATGAGAAATATTGATGACATTATGCAAAGTAAAATGAGCCAGCCACAAAAAGACAGATTGTATGAGATGTATAAAGCAGTTACACTCTTAGAAACCGGAAAAAGTGGTGCTTTAAAAGTGCTATCAAATGGGAAGAATTGGTAGTTGTTTAATGTATATTGAGATTTAGCTCTGCAAGATAAAAATATTCTAGTGATATGATGCATAACAATGTCAACATAATATGACTAAACAGTATACATATATATACTTATTATTATTTTTTGAGATGGAGTTTCACTCTGTCTCTGAGGCTGGAGTACAGTGGCAAGATCTCGACTCACTGCAACCTCTGCCTCCTGGGTTCAAGCAATT